GCGTCCAGAGCCTGCGCTCCACAACGGGAGAGGCCACAACAGAGAGAGGCCCACGTATCACAAAAAAAAAAAAAAAAAATTCAATTTGCCGCATCCGAGGGAGTTCCGGCGTGTCTCCCAGGCACGTTCTTTCCCACACACTAGTTTTCAGTTCCAGCCAAATTCTTTGACTCCTGGAAAGTGAGACAGGTCACCCCAAGGTCAATGGACTCTCCCCGTGGTCTTCACCATGCCGTGTCCTCGCATTCACTGCGAAGTGACAAGGAATACTGTCTCCTGGACCAAACTTCGGAAGGGCTCCTCTGAGCACGCTTTTCGACTAGGCTGGGGTCCTTGGGCCCTGTCCTTGGCCTGCCCAGCCCAGATTTTAGGAAGAATCCTGTTAACTCTGTTTACAAAACCCTCCACCCTTGATACCTGAACCCAATCAGGTAGCCAGGATGCTGCTAGGCTGGGCTAGCAAGAACCCCCCACCCTGATGTCTCCTCCTGGCAATTCTCCATCCACTGACCCTTCACACTGCTTGTGGCTGTAAATCCCTGGCTGCCTTTGGAACTGAGCTCAGCTCGATACCTCAGTCTCTTTCCCACACTGTGATAGTACTGAATTAAACCTGTCCATCACCTTTAACTTGTGCCTGGCTCTATTTCTCTTTAAAAGAGGGTAACAGATGGCTCTCCCAGTAAACAAGGACAAATCCACAAAAGGAACGGGATGCCAGTGGTTAAACCTAACCAGGCCCTGCCCAGGTCACAGGTGCGTCTGGATGGCTTTGAAACTACTTGGAGCGAGACAGTCAACAGCTCAGCCTTTAGCAATTCAAGGAGCAGGAAACGCCCTTGGCAGACTTCACAGTGTGGAAAAGACAAGAAGGCTTGGAGTCAGGAAGCTCTCCATGGATGGCCACCATTATAAATGGTAACCGCTTGAGCAAGTAACTGAAACTCTCTGGTCTTATCTCTCTGGCTGGTAGAGATAAGACCCCTACCCCTGCCGTGAGGATTAAATACTGTGCGTGTCAGACACAACTAGCACCCCGTCCCCCAACAATGTCTGAGTTCAGGGTTTTGGACCTGGGCGTCGGAAGATGTGAGTCCCAGCACCTCGAGAATTTTATAAAAACCGGAAACGGCCAGTCGCCGCCTCTCTCCTCTGTGCAGAGAAGCAAGACGACCATAGGCAGCAGCGACTCAGAGGTGGGGGTAACAGACAGCACTTCCTCTCTGCTGCCCGGCTGTTCTCTGCGCCCCTCCCATCACCCACCTATCCTCCCAACCCCATTAATATTCACTGAGTGCATAGCAGGCGTCAGGCACGGTGTGGAGCTTTTCCGCTGTGTTAACCCTGCCAGAGGTACCCTGGCCCCGCTTAGCCCCCTGGGGGAACCAGGAGCTAAAGAATGTGCTGATTTAACTATTGACACTTGTCACCTGCCCTCGGGTAAGTGAACTCCTGCTCCTGGCCAGAGCGCCAGCTGCCAGGGCCCCTTTCTCCTGCAACAGGTGTCACATTTGTGCCAGGAGACAGACACCCCGATCTCAGGTGACAGATAAAGCACCACCGTGGGCCTCACATTCTGCCCTCACAAAGCTGGGCTATCAAATTCACCATCAGCCGGAACTCTGCCAACATCTCTCCTCTGTGCTATGTGGACTCTTCAAAGGCCTGGAGAGCATCTCTTTGGCTCTTTGGTGAAAATACAGCATAAGTACAGCCCTTGGTGCTTTCTTTTTTTTTTTTTCAGATGATACTTTTTAAA